TGTTTTATTTATTTCTAGGAGAGAGAGAGAGACAGCGTGAGCAGGGGAGGGTCAGAGAGAGAGGGAGTCACAGACTGAAACAGGCTCCAGGCTCCGAGCTGGCAGTCAGCACAGGGCCCGACGCGGGGCTCGAACCCACGAACCGCGAGATCATGACCTAAGCGAAAGTCGGACGCTTAACCGACTAAGCCACCCAGGCGCCCCTGGAGTTGCTTTTTAAAAAGACCACTCCTGCTCCAGTATGAGAATGCACTGGAAGGAGGACATTAAAAACTGAATGGTCCTTTCTTAGTTCCTCTTTCTCTGTCCACATCATATCTTACAGATTCGTGTGAGCATTGCTATATGACTGGGCCTATGGTGAGGACAGTAGAGAAAAGAATACTGCAGATTCTTGAGATACTTAGATATAAAATCAATCAGCTGATATTTCTTGGAGTCCATTTATAGCATAACCCTGTCTCCAACTAGTTGACAGAATTCTTCTTGGGAATCTTTTTAGCACTATAATCTCGAAACCTAAATATTAGTGTAATTTTTGTATATTCACTCTACACATCAATGTTCATTACCCTCCATGAAAACCAGCCTCTGAGTAGAAATAGGCAGTGGTCAGTATAATGAAATCTGAGGATTCTGTTCGACAATATCCACAATTAAGACAAAATGTTTGAATTACATTTGTAGGGATTGACAAAATTCTCTTTGAAAAGAAACTTTTTTTCTTTTTTTAAGTTCACTTATTTATTTGGCAGAGGAGGGTGGGAGGTAGGCAGAGAGGGAATCCCGAGCAGGCTCAGCACTCTCAGCTCAGAGTGTGATGTGGGACTTGAATTCACAAGCCATGAGATCATGACCTGAGCTGAATCCAAGAGGTAGATGCTGAACTGACTGAGCCACTCACATGCCCCTAAAATTCTCTTTTTCGGATGTCTGGAAACACCTGGGATGATCACTTATTCATGAGATAAATATTTATCGAGTATTTGCTCTATGCCAGCCACTATTCTAGTCAAGAGAGTTACAGTAGCAAGCGAGACAAACCAGGTCCCTGCTCTCGTTCTGTTTACATCTTAATGAGGAAGACAGATATAAACAAGGTACCGAGTGATGAATCAATGACACAATTGCAAGCAATTATGGATTTATAACTACTATATATGAATTTATAACTAGTATAAAAATAAATAAATAAAAGAGAGAGATAGTCTACAGAGTTATTACTGGGTCTGCTCTAAATGCAATAATCGAGGAAGGGCTCTCTGACGAAGTGACATTTGAAGAAATATCTGAGTGACGAGAAAGCACTAGGTGTAGGAAGATCTAGCAGGTCTGAGGAAAGCACTTGAGTGAGAGACAGCACTAAGAGGACTCACAGGGGCAGAAAGGAATTAGCATTGCAGGGCACACGAAGAAAACAAACTTGTGGCTAAAGCATCTTGAGTCAGGGAGAAAGTCAGGTGAGATAAAGTAGAAGGAATAACAAAATAAACAGGAATATATGACATAAGGCCTTGTCAGCTAGGGTTAAAAATTGTATTACTATTTCAACAACAATGAAATGTCACTGGAAGATGGTAGTGAGCCCTAGTCATTCATACTTGAGTGTGGATTATTTTAACTTGACTCTCTTTTTTTTTTTTTTTTCAATTTTTTTAAATGTTTTATTTCTTTCTGAGAGAGAGACAGCGTGAGCAGAGGAGGGTCAGAGAGAGAGGTAGATACAGAATCTGAAGCAGGCCCAAGGTTCTGAGCTAGCTGTCAGCACAGAGCCCAACGCGGGGCTCGAACCAACGAACCATCAGATCATGACCTGAGCCGAAGTAGGACGCTCAACCGACTGAGCCACCCAGGCGCCTCTTAACTTGACTCTCTTAAGAATTATTACAGATCAGCTGCAATGAATAATTTGGTGAGAGTGGTAGGAAAGAGGGTGGAATAACTTTGGGGTTGGAGAACGGCTACCGGAAACACACCCAGTTAGTGATCTGCTCTGTCTTGCAGGAAGGCAGTAGACAAGGTCTGCACGAATCACCCACAAGATTAGGAATTTTGCTACACTAATGATATCAAATTGAGGGAAGAAGAGTTTGTTTTCTTTTCCTTTTTTTCTCATTTTTTAAATTTTATTTTCAAACATTCTGCAGATAATGAAAAATTAAAGGGGAGGGGGTGGGGAGGGCTAGGGTTATATACATATTTGTGTGTATATATACATATATGTATGTGTTATGGCTTACCCTGAATTACAGGCAATGTCAATGTCAGCCAGTCACCAGATAATGTCTATCGTGTGTCCTGGAAGTCAACAGTGCTACGTGTAGCTTTTCAGCATCAACATCAATCATTCCTTAAATATTCAATTTTTTTAATATTTGTATTTTAAAATAAAATCTATTTCCCCCTTATCCTACAATTCTTATATAGCATTAATATTAGCTGTCTAATTAGATTTAGCCAATTCTGTATTTTCACTACAACATCATTACTTTGCAATATCTTCATAAAGGTCTATCCTACTATAGGGAAAACACCTGATTTGGGGGTTAAAAAAAAATAAGAGAAGTGTATACAGAGTTGACAAATCATTAAAGACTTTATTAAAATAATGTTTGTAATTAGAGCTTTAAAACCAGACTGTTATTAGTTTTCTTAACTTACCCGTTTCCCCTTTATTCAATAAATATATTACGAGGCTCTCGTCCAACACCACCCACAAATCCCATAAGAATTTGTTTAGGTTTTCTTCCTTTACCTGTATAAAGCCTGATCAGAGCACCCTGATGAGAGCACACTGTCTTCCTTTAATTTAAATGGCAGTTGCTGACACCATGGTTATACACAAAAATAAATATGGCTGAAAAACAATCAATATCATGACCTGGTTTCCAATATAAGAATTCTACAGTTTAAAAAAAGACAGGATCGAAGGAAAAAAAAAAAAAAAAAAGACAGGATCGTTGTTTAATAAGCCAGTGACTCATACCTCTTGGCATACATGGACTGGGCAAGTCCATTTAGGTTATGTTCGTAGATGATTGTCAGTGACTCTTATTTCCAAGGTGATCTATATATATAGTATATTTTTACATGTGACAGTTTTAAGAGGCTTTGAAGTTACTGGAAAAATAACAGCAAATGCTAAGCTTACTTACGTTTGTCTCGTTCAGTTAAATTATGACCCCTTTTGTGAATAGCTCAGAAAGTTTTCTGAAGATCAAGATTTTTCTTCTCTGGGCCTGAGTGGAAAGAAACATCAGTTATGGCAACGTTACACTAGACCTGATTCATACAGGCTTGCAGGGACGAATTGTTATAATTTGGGACGTGATGTGAGCCCATGATTAAACACAGCCATTATTATAAATTAAGTGAATAAACTTATAATTAAGTAAATTATAATAAAAACAAAGGTAATAAATACTTAAAACTCTTACCTTCCTCATCCTTTGACTATAGTTTACTCTCCCTACTGTACAACTACTGCACTCGCGTGGTGAAAACACTACACAATGGTATTGCTGCTTGCAACAACTCCACATTTCAACTCCACGTTTGCTGACATCAGGCTGGTGGCTTGAAATAGGCCAGGGTGGCAGTTTATACAAAGTGCTCAAGTTGAAAGAGTTCTAACTCAATGAAAATAACTTCTGTGACGGTGTGAAAAATAGTTCCACAGTAGATCACATAGTCGATGTAATGATAATACACTTATTAGGGAAAGAGCAGGTTGGATGACACTCAGTGCGTGATTTTGCCAAATCATAGTTGACTTGCTGGCTATGGATGCAAGAGGTAGACCAAAACCAACAAAAGCATTCTGTGTGACTCAATTGGCTATAAGGAATGTGCAATAAAGAGCACCATGTGTTTTATTTTTATTTGTAGATTATGTACCACACATCATTTATATCAGTAAAAATCATAATAAACACACACAACATTTATATGCATACTTTTTGCCCTGGAGATTCCCTCGTTAAACAGTGACCAGACACTACTGGTTCTGCAGGAAAGCTGAACCTGGATAGGTAATTTAAAAGCACCTTTTTCAGAAAGTTGTAACAGAGAGCAAGTTTGTCTCTTTGTTGCCCTAATCTGTTAAAATCGGTGTGTGTTCACGCTCATACCGATTTGCCTCACCAACATTGAAAAAGGATTTGTTTCCATGTTTAATTTGAAACTCCTCTGGTTAGAAAGAGAACCCGAATGTCAACCACATGAAACTGTAAATAGACATTTTTGCTCAGCCTCAAGTATCATGGCTATCACATAGGTTTGGGGGAATATTATTTATTTATAACTCTAACCCGCCAAAAAATTGTTTACTCAAATCATTGCACCCCATCTAATTTATCTCAGTTGAGTATTTTCATCTTGAAATTCACCAAAAAGGCACATGAATATCCAGTCAGAAGTAAGGTCTACTTGCTTCAGGAGCAATGTGACATGCTCAGGGAGCCCATTCACTGAGCTGCAGGAAGCGAGAATATTGAACACATCTGAACACTAAACGGCCTTTGGCCCAACCGCCTCAAAGAAGGAAGTTGCCAGATCACACCATGGCTTTTCATCACCTGCTGTATATTTCAACAGATACTCTGCCCCAACATGTATCATGATCTCTACACATAACATTAAATAGAAAGTACTGGACACCGGTGTCCTGTTGGGTGAAGTTTTATCATTTCATTTATCCAGCATGATTTACCTAGAGAAACTGTCATTCAGACAGACTTGGCCTTTGTTTTATCCAAAAATATGTCAGATCCCTTGTTTAGTGAAAAACGCCCCCAAATGGTTTTAGTGGGGGAAGTAAAGACACCATCAGGTCTAATCGAGGACTGAAAATTACTTCGTTTTCAACGTTGGTATTTGTTTAGTTAAACTCTCAAAATGCCGGCAAAAACTCTAGATCTGAAGCGTGTGTGTGTGTTGAGAAGACTAGAAAAGGAAATTTGGGTCCATTATATAACTGCCACTTTTTGTTTTTATTCAAGGTGTCATAAAACTGAGTTCTGCAGTCGAAGGTACGTTTTTACAACCACACAGTCAATACTGTTTTGCTTAAAGGTTGCCTAGCGTGGCTTTGTAGCTAGAAAGCATCTGTGGCAGCGGTGTGTGGCACCATGTTCTAGTTGCCAGCTATCACCATTGCATCTGTGTTTCTCTTTGTTCGGGTCATTTTATGCCATGAGTCTCTCAGGCCTCCACCAGGGGAGTCAATGCTGGCCCAAGAGGGCAGGCTTTATGAGAGCGAACATGTCTGCTTCCACTTCCGATGTGATTGCCTCCGATCCAGTGCTTTTTACAGATCCCCTTGCTTTCCAGCAACCTTAGTTGAGGCTGGACATGGAGTCTTGCCAGGAAGCTTGCCTCCCCATTCTTTCAGCACGGCCTTCTCTAGAGTGTTTTGGTCCTTTATCCCAAGGTAGCCAGTATGTGTGCCCAAGAAGGATGTGGGCATGGAGCTGTTAAAGCTCCCTGACAGCACACTACGCGATTAAGGCATTTACCGGTCTCAGACGCAGGCTCCTCCCGGGCAGTGCGATCCACCACCCAGGAGGCACCAAGACCGGCTTCCTTCCATGTTATTTGTACCATCCATATCCGGCGAGGTAGTTCCCTTCACTTGTGCATCCAGGAAGCTAAGAAGAAAAGGAGAAGGGATCTAAGGAAAGATGTGGATTGGGGTGGGAGAGGACAGCAGCATTTGCTAACCCCTAAGAATGCAAAAATACCCCATCTGCTGAAACAATTAATTGGTTATTGCTATAAATCTGATCTCCTTATCCTCATAGAAACTCACTGTCCGAAAGTAGCAGATGTGTAATTTGTTCTTCTTGTGAGTTCCTGTGTTTGGCGTGTGTGTGTGTGTGTGTGTGTGTGTGTGTGTGTGTGTGTGTTCTCATTTATCGGGAGTTTGTCAGTCATGCTTCGAAGGCTCCTGCATCCCCACTTAATCAGGGGAGGCTCCTCGGAAGAGGTGGTGGGCTTTCAGGTGAGTCTTCACGTTTAAAGGGAGACATGGCTTGCTGAACGGGCAGTGCATGAAGGTGGGAAGCGGAAAAATGCAAGGGAGAAGGAGTGGTGAGACCATCTGCTTGATTCAAGCAAAGGGATTAGGTGGGCTGGAGTTTGAAGACTGGGAGATGCAGGAGGGGCCCCATAATGAACCCCCAGGACTGGCAAACCCAACGTGGGGAACTCTGTGCCTCACGAAGATGTAGTGCCATCACAATTTACAGAACAATGTTGAAAAGGCAATATTTCTGACATTCATGGTGGGAAGCACGCCACTACTCTTCCAAAGTGAGCCAAGGACCAGGGGGAAAGCACAGACACCCATGTTTCCAGGTCGAGAAAGAGGAGCAAAATGATGTCACCATCATTCAGGGTCAGGGAGGGCACGGTTCACATTTCTGGCCTCTATGAGGTAAGGAGGAGTCAAGCGTCCCCTGCATGCTAACATGGAGTTTTATTGAGAGATGGTCCAAACCTGTCCCTGCCTAACAAAACACAGGAGACACAGCGACAAACTCCAGCAAGACCACGAGAATGGCAGAAACTCGTGGTGGCTAGTGAGCTAATGAGCGCTGAGTTTCAATGAATTATCTGTAGAATTCCAGATAACAGCTGGTCCACCCTGGGCTGTTTTGATGTTTTATCAAGGAATGGCTTTGAAGTCAGAGCTTTGCGTTGCCTGCCTGGCTTCAGCACAGTGTTCCTCTTGCAACGAAAGGATTGAAAAACAAATCAAGCAAATGCTTTAAGAAGCCAGGAAGCCACAAGAACGTTAGATAACTTAAAAACTCTTATTCTGCTGGAACCGTTGTGTTCATCATTTTGTTAGTGACTATTGTCACTACTGGCTATCATGGCCTATCTGAAGACCCCAAACAAGTTCACCATTTCCAGAGCACGATGAGAGTGAGGAAAACTAAGGGCAAGAAACAGAATGCCTGCTTGGGACTTCTTCAACATCCTTATTATCACTCAGCCTTCTCTGAGCCCCTGGGGCTGACAGGAAGTGCGCTGGGGCAGGGGTGGGTATCAGAGGTCAGGCCCACCACGACCCACTGCTTGAGCTTCTATCTCTGGGGCAGCTTCTTGGCTGAGGGCTGTGGAAGCTTGAAGGCTTGGGAGCATGCTCTGTCATAATTGTGTTAGAAACGTGTGCGCAAGGGGCCATCTGGAGGCCAGTGTATGTGTGTGTGTCTGTGTGTCTGTGTGTGTGTGTGTGTGTGTGCGCGCGCTCCATGCATGCATTCTTGCTGCATCTGGAATGTGAGATTTTTGACCAGCACGCTCAGTGGAATGTGCGTGAGACACTATCTCCTGATTCGAAATCAAACCTCAGATGGCAGTCCTTATGAATGCTTAGCTGATGACTATTCTTGCGATTTTCCATCTGTGGGATGAACTCAAGGTCGCTTTATAGAGTTAATCACGTCAAGGAATATGTAACTCAGTGGAGGGGATTCGCTGCCAGAAATGAAACCTACCTTTTCTTCCAAGATGACTCTGTTTTGGATTATCGTGGAACTCTAACAATAGCATTAATATTTTAGGTAGGTTGTCTTTTCTTTTCTCTTGTTTTAAAGGAAAAGCAGTTCTCAAAGTGGTAAGAGAAAATCGACAAAGATTCCTTGTGCTACTTCTCACCAAGTATTTTTGCCACGCAGTATTCTTCTTTCTCTTTCTCTGGAACAGAGGTGCCCCCTTCAGCATTTTGCAGCCTCACCTAAGCTCTTTAAATCAGCAGAAAGAAAAAAAGCTATTTATATCGCATTAATGGTAAGGTTAAACGTCAAATGTCCATTCACGTTTTAAAGACTTAAATTTGTGCTTAAACAGCGACACACGTCAATGCTTTCAATTAGTTTGCAATGAAGAAAAATATTTGAACAGGAAAAAGTCTTTGAAAGAAATAGTTACATTTTATCGATAACACTGATGAACTCCAGGCTCTAATTTTAAACTGATAATCCCAAACTGGGAGAAAAACCGGATAAGACAGAAATATCCGGAAGCAAATTGGGAGAAAGGGGAGATGGGCGGTGTTTGGGTGCATGGTAAAGGGAGAAAAACTCTTTCGTGCAATGGGAGCAAAACCATCCTGTACCAAGAATTCCGTGATAGATTCTTCTAGGTATGCCTCTTAAAAGGGATTTCCCCTCTTCAAACTGAGGCAGGGCGAAGGCAGGTAGCAGGGCACATATTTCCCTAGGTAAGGCCAGCACGCCAGCCTGATCAGGGGAAACAAGAAGGCAGGTCACAAAGAGCTGAGTCACGCCTGAGTTAGAGACCTGCCCTGACTTCTACCCGCTACTTCTTTCAGGGAGGAGGAGTCCAGCGCCAGCCAGCTGCTCCTCATCCAACAGGGGAGGTGTGTTCAGACACGTGGGCAGCATTCTGCCTGGAGGGACTCGATGAGACGCAGAGGCTGATGACAGACAGGCCTTTGTGACTGATAAGCAGGGTGTGTTCTGTGATGAGAACTTGCCTCAAAAGCAATTTGTTTATACCTTATAGGTCTGTGAGATTCCAAAATACCAAAACGACATCAAATGCTTCTGAAAGCCTGTACGAGGGAATGAAGTTTGCCTTTTGGGGAAAAATTCCATGTCTTTCCAAATGGGACCAGATAAGCCTCTATAAGAAAATCTACTAGACGAGATGGTTATCCAGGCCCTGGCCCACAATCGTGTCCTGTGTGGACATGCTGTGGGGCTTCAGCTAGCTTTAGAGGTGAAACTTGTGCTCCCAGTGAAACCGCAGAGTTGCCGTGAGCAGCTTCCATTTCATAAACAAAAGCTCCCCTGGGCGTGTGAAGCTTTTGTTTTTCCTTTTTTCTTCTTGTCACTTCATTTTATTTAGATAGGTTTTCAGGATCTTACTTCTCCATGGTAATGGCCCACGAGCCACAATCCCCTGCAGAGCAGGGGGCTCAGGACTTGTCACATTCAAGGTGGTGCTTTCCATGGTCTCGTAGCCTCTGACCCAGAAAATGGAAGGACTCCTCAGGCATAGGGGAAAAAATAAGCAAAAGCTTTATTCAATCTTTGTTCCCGTTTTTAACATTCACAATACCTGCAGCTTAATGCCTATATCATCAATCTATAGAGGTGTTCTTCCGATATGAAGCTATGATCTGCCTCTGCGTACGTGTTGAATACTGAAATACTCAATTATTTTGCTTAAGAAATACTATTTTCCGTAATGTGACATGCAGTGTGTCTGTCATAGTCTGTTGGGCTGCTGCAACAAATTATGGTAGATTGGGTGGCTTACACAACCAGAGATTTATTCCTCACCTTCGAGGAGGCTGGAAGTCCAAGATCAAGTCGCCGGCAGTTTCAGTGACTGGTGCAGTCCCTCTTCCCAATTGCAGACTGCTGACTTCTCACTGGGTCCTCACATGGTGGAAGGTGCAAAGGAGTTCTAATTCCATTTCCACCTACATGTCTTATTCACTACCCAAAAGCCCCACCTCCTTTTCTTTTCTTTAAAAAAAAAATCTTTTTTAATGTTTTGAAAGAGAGAGCAAGCTAGTGCATGAGCGGGGAGAGGTGTAGGGGGCAGAGAGAGAGGGGAGACATGAATCTGAAGCAGGCTCCATGCTCTGAGCTATCAGCACAGAGCCCAAAGCAGGTCCTGAACCCACAGACCATGAGATCATGACCTGAGCTGAAGTCAGATGCTTAACCGACTGAGCCACCCAGGCGCCCCCCCATGAGCCCCAACTCCTAATACCATTACCTTGGGGGCTAAGATTTCAACATGTGAATGGGGGTAGGGGGGACACAAATACTCACCCCAGAGCAACCCCAAATGAATTTAAGACTTAAATATTCCAGTGGTTCAGTTGGCTTCAGCCCAGGTCATGATCTTACAGTTCTTCTTGAGTGATCCCAGCATCGCCTGTCCCCCTCTCTCTCTGCACCCCCCACAAATAAATTTTTAAAAAATTAAAAAAGAGAGAGAGAGAGGTTTTTCGGCAAAGAAGCCCAGCCCTCCCTCTTACAAG